ATAGAGGTGGGGGGCTGCCTCAGAGGCAGCAGCGCAGAGGTGGGGAGGGGCAGGCGGCTCCATGAGATACAGTGCTTGTGGGCAGCCACCTTAAAAACTGGCTCCCCACAAGCACCAGCTCCCGCTTTCCCCACTCTTGTGGCTTATCAGTTAATTTTGTAGACCACTACATGCTGACATCCCTAACTATGACACAGAAAATATTTTTACCAACTTCAAAGATAGTGACAAGTATATCAGTTTTTAAAATGATCTCACAATCAGTGTTCCCTCTGAGCTGCGCGGCAGCTTTTTCCTATCTATTCACCAATATGTACCAGTGAAAATGCATTACTCATTAATTTCTGACAGTTCCATCTTCCAACAGTCACTGTATTGTATAGTTCTCAGAACAAGAAAAGGCTTTTTTTTAAAATATTTTAAATATATGTTTTTTATCTAAACAGAGCAGAAACACTGACTTACTTATTTCCTTTTAACACAGAGCAAGTAACAGTGACAAAAACATATTCTCATTTTCTAATTATACCCTCCCCATTCAAAAACAAAGTCCTATTACCTACCCACACTCCCCACCCTTCAGAATGCATCTATATCAGACAAGTTAATAATCTGGAGAACAAGAAATTTATCAGACATCTGTTACCTTACAATTCCTTATATCCCAGGCTTTAACTTCAGGGCTGAATCCTCCACAAATAAAAATATTCGGCTCAGAAACATGAAACTTCAGTGTGCTGACCCTAAATTCATTTTTGCTGCTAAATATCTGTGTCCCTAAAATACAAAGAAAAAAACAGGGTTAAAATTTTAACATGAATATATTCTTATTAAATAAAATTCTACACTTGTATATAGCAAACAAATAAATAAAATATAATGTAGGTTGCCAAAAATCAATGGTAACAAACACATGGGACTATTTTAAATTTCTGAAAAAATCTGGAATTGAAATAACTTTATTCCATTTAGGTGAAATTCATCCTACTCTTGGCCTGCTATGCCATTTGCTCGGAAGTGCCTTTGCAGAGACAAGATTTGTGCAGGGAGACTTCTGAGTCACTTGCACACTGCAGATGGGAGTTCCACAAAGGTCTCACTTTATGGCATGCAGGGTTTACATATGCAGATCTCACAGATGGGGACTCTTGTGCAGAGGACTTGTAGTTGTTACTCCGATAGCTAGAGAAGGGGCTGCATTGCAATCCGGTGGCCTGCATGTGTGTTTGTTGCAGGGAGTAGAATTCCATCTGACCAACCTCATGCAATTCCCCTGAGTTGCTAGATTGGATTTTGCTTTGATTTTGTAAAAGAGAGGTGAATTTTGCCCTTACAACAGAAAATAATTTGCATACCCTCATACTGAGGCAATATCTGTTCCCAAGGAGACACTGTTCTCTAAATTTAACTGTGTATGGTAATCTTCACAGGATCCCGTGTCTTAATAGTAAATGGCTTGCAAACAACACTTCCCAAGTCATAAATTTAATGCCACAAGAAATTCAGGTACATTAATTTATAGGTTTTATGTCCAGATCATTGCTTTTATACTTATCAAATTAAAGAACATGTACGTTCACTATAATACTACTTGAAATAGCAACATATGCTAAGCTAAATGTATTTAAGTTTTTCAGAATTTCACAATTTATTATTCTATTGTATTACATAGAGTATCTTCATTCAAGAATAAAAAATGACTACATACACTGAAAATACATTATATAGGTATGCACTAACTCAAGAACACAGCCAAACCAATGGTCCATTCAGTCCAGGACTCGGTCCAATGACAGTGCCTGGTGTCAGATACTACAAAAGGAATTAACACAATAGGATGAATATCAAGTAATCCATCCCCTGTTGTCTCTTACTGGCAGTCAGATGTTTAAGGATACCCAGAACATGGGGTTGTATCTCTGACCATCTTGGCTAATATCCCATCACCTTAGTTCTTTCTGGGTATGTCTACACTACAAAGTTAATTCGAACTAACAGACATTAGTTCGAATTAACTTTGATAGGCGCTACACTAGCAAACCGCTAGTTCGAACTTAATTCGAACTAGCGGAGCGCTTAATTCGAACTAGGTAAACCTCATTCCATGAGGACTAATGCCTAGTTCGAATTAAGGGCTGTGTAGCCACTTAATTCGAACTAGTAGGAGGCTAGCCCTCCCCAGCTTT